TCCACTGGGTGGGACTCCTTTCCTTAGGCCGCCCACGGCATCCTCCAGCCATTCAGACCAGGCTCCAGCGGGCAACCTGCAGCATGTCTGAGGGACTGTTCCGTCTGGGAACCCAATGCGATGAAGTTGTGAGGAGCTCAGATATTCAAATACCTTTACCCTGGTCAGGCAACTGCCCCTGAGGCAGCCAGTTGTTGAAAAATAGACTTTGGCTACCTTCTCTTTGTTTCAAAAAACTCTTTCAGACTACCTTAGCGGGGAGCTTAATGTGAAACCGTAAATGTAAGGCGTTCTCGGGTGTGGAGCTGTGTGGTTCAGTGCTCGAGGGTTGAGACTGGTGCTGGAGACTTGGTTTTGACAGCTGTGTGACCTAGAGCAAGTCCACTGAAAGGGTCGATATTGCCACAACTCCAGGAGGCACATGTACATTGTATTTCTCTATGTGCACGGAGCCCCCTTCGGCCAGCAACGGGCACTGCATAACCCGCCAGGGCCTCAGTGTCCTCCACAAAAGCAGGTGGTTGGACAAAATGGTAACGGCTTCCTAGTGAAAGACATCTCCATGGCCCAGGAGTGGGACTAAAAGATTCTGAGCAAGCACAAAAGAGCCACAAAGCTCCCTGGCACGCGTACAGCTCTCGGCGTGTGCCGCCATAGCCGGCGTGTCCAGGGATTGGCTTCACCAATACATTTTCCTGTGGGAACACTTCCTTTACCTGCCAATAACAGTGAATGAGGAAATGGGGTTCACTTCATAGAAATTCACTTCCCAGCCAGCTTTGCTGCGGTGGGATCCCCGCCCTGGACTGCAGCACAGTTCTGCTCCCGGATGGAAGTCATTCGGCCTTCACCGAATGCCTGCGATGCACCAAGCATGAATGCTAGGCGCCTTTTATTTGTTTTTGTTTAATTTTTTTTGTTAGGTGCCTTTTACAAAGCAATGTTCTTATTTATTTATGGTTTTCACCTATCTTCCATTGACATCAATTCTTTCTTAAAGATTCTTTTTTAAAACTGATAAAATATACATAACATAACATTCGCCAGATGCAGGCTGCCCTGGGAAGGCGAGACCTTGGACAAGGCTGTTGTCATTGGCTCAGGCAGAGGCCTGCCCCAGCTGGAAAGTGGGGCTCTGGGGGGTGGGGGTGGGGGAAGAGGGGGGCAGACTGGGTAAATTTCTCTGCCCACCACCTTAACATTGCAACTCTTTGTTAGGCAATTTTCTCCTTACAGTTGAAGAAACGGATGCTCATAGAGAATAAATGACCCGTCTGAACGTAGCACAACCCGTTAATTGTACAGCCAGGATCAAAACCGACGTGTCTGGTGGAGGAGAGCCTCGGTCCCTAATTTTAATAATGAACACTTTGATGGAGCTCTTGCTGGGGGTGAGAGATGAGGAGGGGGGGAGGGGTCCAGAGATGCAGGGCAGTGCCCCATATTCAGACCATCCACAGTCTTTTGGGGGTGGGGGTGGGGGTGGGGAACCACACAGAAGAAGTGCTGCCACAGAGATCCGACCCAACGTAACAGGAGGACGGGCTTGGGGAGGACCAGGACGTTGTCTCTGGGGAGCCGGAGAGGCCTCACAGAGGTGGCCTTCCGGTTGTGCCTGAAAACTGCCAGGAGTTTGTTGGGCTTGTTGGAGAGGGAGGGGCTGCTTACGGCTGGTAGGAAGGAGCCAGGCTGTGCCTGGCTGCATGGTGGCCCAGGCCCCTCGAGAGAGGCAGCGTGTTGCTGGTGTGGAAACGCTGGCAGGCTCCTGGTGGCCAGAGCGCCTTCACACGAGAAGAGACGAGGCGTTTGCACAGAGCCCAGCCCCCTTGGGAACTGCTGTGGGAATGCGGTCATTCAAACTCCCCATGAGGAAACGGACGAGCTCCTTTCCTCATCTGGGAGTTCAGGTATTAACACAGTTTTCCCAGGGAACCTAAGCCAGAAGTTCATTTTTTTTTTTTTTTTTTTAATGGTCTTCCTTCCATGGAACTCAAAGAGCCCGTTTAAAAAAAAAAAAAAAAAAGTTTAGCCAGAACCTTAGAGTGCAGTCTTCTGAAGGAACTCGGCAGCACAAAGCTATCTGAAATGGAATGCTCATTTTCCTCTCGGCTCCTTTGCTGTGTCTGAACAACCAAGGCAATCTGATTCATTATTTCACAACAAAACCAAACCCAGACAAGCCAGCGCTCTGGCGTTATGTGGACAAAAACATCTGGTTCCTTTTCACTGGGTTCCTCTCCTCCAGCTAGACATTTTAGCGTCACAGCATGGCTGGCGTGTAGTCGCCCTTGTTTTTCCATAAGCTGGAGTTTTCGGTATATCCACCCTCTTATTCCTGTAACGAAGGCCATCTCCAAAGTTCCTCCCAGGGTTGAGACTAATTGCTGGGATCGGGTCCAGCTTTCTATATGTTTGCATGTTGCACACACAGTATGAGAGAGAAATGGATTTTGATCAGTGGAGAAGTCTAACGTAGCTACAGGATTCCTCCACTCCCACCCCTGCCCCATTAGGTAGGCACAGGTGACTGGGGAGTGGATTTTCTACTCTATATGGTAATAGAAAGCTCTGCCTTTGATTTAAGGTTCAGCAGTTATACTCGGGGAAAGTGTGGTTCCCTCTGCTCTTTCTGAACGGGTTGATGCCTGAACAAGAGCTCCTATCGGAGAAAAGCATCTCACACTGACCACATTCTGCCCCGAGGCCAAGCACAGCTTTGCAGCCCCCTTTGTGAGGCCAAGGGGAGAAGGGGCCGGCCCTGAAGTGTCTGTTCCCTCTGCAAGGCTGACAGGCTGTTGACAAACACCCAGGGCTGACTTCACTCCTCAGACCCCCGGCAGGACTGACCCTGGCTTCAGGCCTGAGCTCCCAGGGGCCAGAAGAAGAGCCGAGAAGGAGATGAAATAGGTGGAAAGAGTGGCTGGTGTTTAAAGCCCACGGTGTGTAGTTTCCCAAGGTTTTAAATAGTTAATTCGACCTCTTTTGTTATTATCACGGCTGTGGCCGAGGGCGCTGACAGGTTCTGGGTGTTGGCATCTGACAGTGTTTTTACGCCTTCGCTCCTCCCGAGACTTCCCACGGGAGCATCTTAATTTTAAAAGGGCCTCCGAATAGCGTCATCAATAAAAATAAAGTAATTGTTGACAAGAAAATAATATAAATATACTAAACAAAAAGTACATCTGGAACCAGTCCTAGACTTCTAGACTAGCTGCCTGGCACCCAGGCAGGCTCAACAGATGTTTGTGGAGTGAATACACAAATGAAGTGATTCTCTCCCCAAAAAGTTCAGCGAAATCTTGACTTTCAGCAAGGCGGTTTAAGAAAGACATCATCAAACCCCGTACCCCCCTCCCCCGCCCCTCGGGATTATGACTAAAGTATATACTAAAGTATATACTGTATACTTTAGTCATAGAACAGGAAAATCTGCAAAGTTGATTTTGGAGTTTTTTTTTGAAAAAAACTCTCCACCAAAAAAGCTCTCTGAAATGGAATGTCCGTTTTTCCTGTTCATTCTAAAACCGTGTTTGTTTGACTAAGGTGCATTTCAGCTTAATGAGTGAAAAGCAAGGGAGCCCGGATCTTCCGCGAGTCCCTCGGGCCACGGACACCACGGATCCCGCTCGGGGCTGGACAGGTTCGGGGCGCCGGGCTCCGATCCAGTAGGCCGGGACCCGGGACACGCGCCCGCCGCTGGCAGGACCGCAGGTCCGGGTCCGGGCGCCTGGCCCGGGCGCCGATGTGGGGACGGAGGGACCCGGGGGCCCCGCGCAGGTGTCGGGCCTGTGCGCCCGGAGTGTCGGGGGGCCTGGAGGACCCGAGGGGGACGGTATTGTTACACTGTAACGAGTCTGATTAACATGCTCCTGACACTTTCTCTTCGTTCCTCGGGCTCCTAGCAACAGCGCACAAAGGCGCGGGATGGTCCCGGGCTCCGCGGGGACACCGGGCAGTCTTTGATCTGCCAGCGTTACCGCGGGGCTGCGCGCCAGGCTAGCGGGCTCCGGGCGGCCCGCGGTGGGCACGGCCCGGGCCACCGGCTCCCCGGCTTCCCAGCCTGCACCCCCTCCCTCCGCCCCGACGGCCGCCGCGCCCCGGCGGTCACCGAGGGCGGTGCCTGCGGGCTCCCCGCTCCCCGCGCTCCCGCCTCGGGCCCCGGGGAGCGGGCGGCGGCCGCAGATGCAGGTCCTTGGACCAGGCTCGCCGGGCCCTGCCCGTCGGAAGTAGCAACAGAACTTCCAATAGAAAAGAAAACTACAAAAACAAAAACAAACCCCACCTAAAATAAAGTTAGGGCGCGAGCAACACATTTAAAAGATTTCGCAAAATTAAAAAAGGAAAAAAGAAAAAAAAAAGACCCCGTGGACGTCAGCCCTCTGAGCTGAACCGGGGTTTGATCGGCACAAAAGGCGCTAACGAGGATGTGGGTCCCTTGCTTCGTGTCGCTGGCATCTCTCACGGATTCGGGAGGAACTATGCTGCCAAATGATTGCCGGGATGTAAACAAACTCCCAGCAACAAAACCCGCCCGTCACAGAGCGGCACAAAGCCGCCCGACCCCGCCGTGCAATATTTGGGCACCAAGTTAGGTGTTGGAAAGGAATTTACTTTCCATTTTGTGCGTCGCCTGAACCCCCCTCCTACGCCCACCCCGATTTAAAATAAAGCCGGAGAGAATAACTAAGGTTTTAACATTTAAATGTTGAATTCCACTGATTACGTTCCCCCTAAATCGCGTGCGAAAACCTCTCGGGTGGGTGGGGGGGAGGTGCCCCGAGCCTGGGGCCAGCGCTCTGCTCTGCGGTGACCGCCGGGCTGGGGCCCTCGCCCGTGTCAATGTGCACGAGATGCTGCTGATCATAAAGCCTCTTCTGTACCACCGATCGCTTGTCTTCCAAGAACTAGAGGTAAAAATATAATAAAAACGCAAGACATTTAGCTTTCCAAGATAAATGGAAACCATAAAAGTAGAATGTTCTTCAAGTTAAAAAAAAAAAAAAAAAGCGCGTATTCTTTTATTTCACTCCTTAAGATGTCGTTAGCAATTCAAAGCACCCAAAGAAAATCCGTTTTTCCAGCCGGCAGAACGATTAGGGGCAAAGGTGTTAATGATAATAATTGCGCGTGTATTTTAGTAAAGGGGGCAACAACCCTACATGGTCTTTTCCCATTTACCTAGCAAAATATGCCAGAAAACGAGTTCCTTTGAAATTCAAATCGGAGGTGGGAAAGTCTCGTTCTGGAGGACACTTTTCCCAGCCGTCCCTGAGGACCAGCCAGAAGGGCAGCCAGCGGTTGAACACTGCAGATATGAAAGGACCAGCTCCCAGATGCCCGGGAAACTTCCCAACTTGTGCTTCGGGACGCTGCCCGACTCCGCCAGAGTGTCCCTCGCCATTTCAATAAAACATGATTGTATTGATATAATCCTCTATACATTAAAATGAGGTTGTCACCGAGTGTCATTAAGACCACAGTAAAACAATGAAGACATTATTGGGCACCCCCCTCAGGCAAGGTATTAGGGGAATAAAACAATCTACACCACACGGGTCCTATTGAGATTAATGAAAAAATTATGCAAAAAAAGTCGCAATTTCATTTTCCCGTGACAGGGCTTTGCACACATACAGTCAGTCTTGCTTTGCACCTGATGATTTATTAAACTAATCTACGGTGATCACCACTGATGTTCTCAACTCAATCTTGTCTGGGCTCATTTTCTAAGTAATTGTTTCTCATTAGTTCTGATAATGTTTTAATAGTGTTGCCCATAATTTAGGCCCCACGAATTAATAACAGGGGGGTGATATGGCAAAGCGGTTTGTGATGAGCTACAGAAAATATAAAAACAGGTATCTTCTTTTGAAATTTAAATTGATCAGATCGACTGCAAAGTCCTCTTTTTGGGGCCCATGCCTAGCACAGAGTTCTCCAGGTTGGCATTGCTATCATGCTAGGTGGGATCTGTTCACCCAGTTCCTCGCTCCCTGGGATACCTGTGCCCCACCCCCCAAAGAGATGCAGGTGAGAAAACAGAGGGGAGACCTTATCTCCCAGCATCTCCTTGTCCTGAAGTTTTTATTCTTCAAGGAATGAGGCACAACAGGTATGACTCCCACCAACCCTTTCCAGAGCCCTCCTTAGTCTCTGCTCAGAGTGGGCCCTTGGTCCAGATTTTTGGCTCTCGTGGGTTCCTGTCTCATGACCCTACCATCACCAGGACCAGGGGGTTATAAGGAAGATGATGGATTTGAAGCTTGGGGAGACTTAGAGAGCAAGGTGGCTTTGTTTGAACAAAGTGCAGCTTGAGATGAAGGGTGCGGTGACTGTTCCAACATGGCCGAGGGCTGAGGAACCCGTGGGCCTGTTGGTGATGGGTGTGCAGACCCTGCTGAGGGGACTGCTTTTCCCAAGATCCAAAGGCCTTCACCCCCGCACCTGAGGTTCCTCACAGGGAGGGCTCGGCTCTCAGGGAGCTCCTGGCGTGAGGAGGCGCCCTGTAGGGTTTGGGGGTTGCTGTGTAACTGGAGTGGACACTAGCACATCTTGCGCTCTCATCCTGTCAGAGCCTGGTGGGGTCATCTGGACCAGCACAGAGGATGGGAAGGGCAGGTGGGTTGGAGAGGAGGGTTGCCTGTGGGGGAAGTATGAAGGAAGGTTTTATTTTCCTCTTTTGCTTAAGACCAGACCTGCCTACAGTGTTCGCACCCTGAGGGATGTGTGTGTGTGTGTGTGTGTGTGTGTGTGTGACCATGACAGGTTAGAATGAGAGGGGGCCTTTGCCTTCTGAGCAGTCCTGTGTCTGTGCTCTGAGCAGAGGGGTCTGACGGTGTGGACACCTATAGTCCTGGGTTACCCTTGTGCACACCGGCTACCAGCCCATTAAGAATGGCCGGCTGTTGTTTGTTTACCCTTCCTAGAACTGCAACAACAAGGTGGGGTGGGGACTGCTCCTCCTGGAACTGCCGCCCGCTGCTCCTGTCCGCAGTCCTGAAGCCATTGAGGCTGGAGGCCCTCTTTCTCCTCACGGCCCCCTTGTCTGTGGAGAGGGTTATCTCCCCTCTTCTTGTCCTGCTCGCGCTGAAGTGTCACAGAGGACCACGGTGAAGGTGACGGAGGGGCAGGCCAGGACCGCCAGGCACACACCTCCTTGGTTTAAGAGCTCACTTCAAGGATCCTATGCTTGGGGATATTAGCTGGTTTCTCAAGAACGTGTTTCCACAGAACCGTCCTGCTGGGTCGGGTTCCTCGGGTGTCCCAAGCAAAGCTGTGTGCCCCTTCCAGCTGAGCACTGGTGGGCGGGGGTGGCAGGATAACATGCGGGCCTCCCCACTCTGCTTTGGTTCCATGGTGCCTTTCCTTGAGTATAACCTTCAATTCTACTCCCCTCTGGGCTTCCTGTTGGAATGGAAGAGGTAGAGGAAAAGCAGACCCCTGGTTGGGGTACACACTAGGGGCCATGTAGGAAATAAACAAAAAGGACAGAGGAGGAGGTGAAAAATGAAAATAAAAAAAACCAAACTGTTTTCTATTTACACATTTAAATAAACAGAACAGCCTTCCCCGCGGTGTTTGTCTAAGAGTGGCAGCCTTGCCGCTGTGTAGGTCATGAAAAGGTTGGTGTAGAGTTTAAAACGTCCCATTCTGTTAATTTCTTAAAGAACAGTCGCCAGAGTCTCGGCACAAAAGCTCATGATTTAATGAGGAGCAGAAACAAAATCTCTGATTGTTGGTGTTTCAAATTTCATTGGCGTCCTCTGGCAAACACAAGTTGATCCTCCGCGGCTTCAATACCCTTTAGCCTTCAATATAAGAGCACACGCTGAATGGGGAAGAATGGCCGGTTGTTATGTTTATTTACCCTTCCTACAAGCTGGGTTAACCTCTTCAAAACAGCTTTCCTAAGCCCGTTAACCACACCACCCATCTGACCCGCAGCCGCATCTCTAATGTGATGCAAATCTCGAGGGGCACCATGTGCACCAGCTCGGGGCATTGTGTCCTCTCGGAGGCTACAAGTTTATTGCTAAGGGGCTTGTCCCGGCCGTACATTTACAGGGGAAATGGCCTCAATGGCAAACAGTTAAATGGGAAATAAAGGGGATGGATGGATGGTCCTGTGTTTCTTTGCATTTATTTTTTAATTGCTGGTAACTGCTGACCCGAAGTATTTGGGCTTTCTTAGTCACGGCCTAGTGGTTCAAGGATTACGGATGTTTCTTTTTTTGTGGGGGGGGGGAAGGGGGGGATGGAGCTTAATAGTCGTCAGTTCTGAAGATTATTTTTAGAGAGATCTATAGAAACCAAGATGATTAATCAACTTTTCTATGCCATCTCTGTTGTGTGTGTGTGTGTGTGTGTGTGTGTGTGTGTGTGTGTTTTAAATCAGATTTCTAGTGAAATGAACACAACCCCTTCCTTCAGTTGTTATTTTTTAAAAGCCTGGCCCGTCTTCAAATTATTTATGGGATCAAGTGACACATGAACACCAGGGGAAGCATCTAAGGTGAGAAGGGTGAAGGGAGTACACCTATTTGGGAAAGACCCGTTTCATTAAAGGCCTAACTCCCCCTTCCAGCCCACCTTCCCCTACTATTTTATCTCCGTGTGAGATAATGAGTCCATAGCCATATCACATTAATGAACAATAAAATCATAAGCTTGGAACCAAAGAGAAGAAGGTTCATTTTCAGAGGAATAACTGGCCAGTGAGATAACGACCACCACGAGAAACTGTGATTAACATGAACTGTAAGTGGGGAAAGGTTCCAATCTGGCATCCTAACAAGTTGCCTTGAGTATTATGGTCTGTCTTTAAGAAACCCACTGTATATGTCGGCCCACCTGAGGAGAGCTTGATTTAGCAGATCATTTTTCCCTGATGGATGTGGCAAGCGTAACAATGTTCTGGGCCTGCTTCAGTAATGGCATGTCGATCATACTCCCTCGGAAAGTAAAGGCTCCCTGGAAAACAGAGAATGCAAACTTCCTGAGAGAAAGCTGGGAAATTATAGGCTTCTTTAAGGCACAAGAACATTTCAGATTCCACCTGAATTATACTGACTTTCCAACCCAACTTTTGAGAAAGCCAAAGAAAATTACAGGGGAAAGATTCCCCCCCCCCACACACACACCTCTAAAGAGGAAAAAAAAAAATCTTGTAGCATTTTAATGGAGTGGAAAAACATCAGACCCAAGATCTTGGAAACTGTTCATTTAACTCTTGAAATCAAGCAGGAAACAACTGTGGAAGGGAAAGGTAAATATTTCCTTATAGGTTTTGAAATATCGTATAGAACTTTAAAAAGAGTAAAATGCTCTAACAACGGAATACTGTTTGAAGAATAAATGTAGGATCAGGTTAAGTTGCTTCTTGCTATAACATAATTGAGGGGTAACACTACCAGGGGATGAGAATATGTAACGTAGGATTATTCTGAGTAAAAAAGAGATTCCTCTGTTGGCAGACATTTGAAGGACAGGATTAGACTGACAAGGGACATGAGCCTGAAACCAAAAGATCACAGGTCTGTTGAATGGCAAGACTGGAAAGAATCTCTGAGATCTGATTTATCCCCATTTTACAGATTCTTTTGTTTAAACCTTCTGGAAATGCTTATTGAATGCATCATGTGATCTAGGCCCTGTTCTAGATGAGGAAACAGGTGAAGATGATTAGGAAATGTTAGAGCAGGGGCTAATCCTTGGATCTCAGAACTTCAAGCCTTCATCACAGACCCCCCAATTAACAAGATGGTTCTTCAGAAAAAGAAAAACTTAATGGTCAGAAGGTAGCATGCCCAGATTGTAAGTTAATGTTTGGATATTTGTGTTCTTTTAGTCACTTCTTTTTGCTGTTTGCCATCACAACTCTTCATCTATATTCATGGCAAGGATATGGTGTGAGTAAAAAGCAGATGATCTTTTGAGACCTGGAAGTGGACTAGAAAATCAGTCCTAGCTGAGTGATGGCATATATTGCCATCTACTTCTGGATTTCACAAGTACTACCTGTCAACCGTCAATGCTGTCTTTATGCTTCCTGGACAGGTCTCCTGGGCTCTCTAGAGACCTTCATCTCCCACAATAACACTGAGTTCTACATAGGACGGAGGTAAAATAAAATTGGCAGGGAATCCTTAGCAGCGACTTCAGAATTTATCTTTCAATCAACAGAGAGGCTTAAAAGCCACTAGGATTAGAATTTTCGCCAGGACTGCCATGCACCACAAACAATGTTTCAGTCAATGACCAGGACCACATATATGACAGTGGTGCCCTAAGATTGTAATGAAGCTGAAAAATTCCTGTCGCCTAGTGATGTCATAGCCATGGTAATACCATAGTGCAGCTACATTACAATCGCCTACAGTATGCAGCACAGTAATATGCTGGACAGGTTTGTAGGCTCTACCACACAGCCTAGGGGTGTAGTGGGCCATACCATCTAGGTTTGTGTAAGTGCTCTCAATGGTATTCGCACAACAATGGAAGAGCCTAATGACGAATTTCTCAGAAAGCATCCTAATTGTGAAGTGACGCATGGTGTATTGCTTACCCTTCCCAGCCTTGAAATGATAAATCTGATTCATAGGAACACCTGCGTGGACTACAATCCGTCATCTCTTACCCTCTTATTTCTCCATTTATACCCCCAGATTGGCCTGTGACTTATTTCATTCAGCCTAGAGCTAATTTTGGTCTGCTCTGTGACTAGGATGAATTTTATGAATTTGGTAGAAGTTCCAAGGATGTGCCATGCGTTAGCATGAGCCGTGAGATCAGGGTGTGAGTCTCACGCTGTTTTACAAGGCAATAGTCTAGTTTCCTTATTGGAGTAAGTGATGAAGACCAAAGGCCTCCTGGGTACCTGCCCACCGAGCGGATTACGGCCTGCAAAACAGCACATCTGTCCTGCCAAGGCTGAAAGAATAGGCCGGCGAGATGACATTAGCGTAGATGCACATGAACGCAACGCAACGCACCGAGAATCAGAACGACGGCTTTGGGTCTGTGCCACGTTCCTGAAATCTGCCCCTGGTCCCACGTGCATATCAAAGAGGCAGAATAGCCCACGTAGTGTTTTAAGACAGAAGACACCATGTCTTTCTCTACAGTGGCAGATTTTGCTTAACTTTCTTTACAAAGCTTAAGCTGGAAAACAAAATCTAACATTTTTATTCTTTGTTCCCTTCATCTCGGCAAATTCAGAATTAGACGCCCAGCACGAATATCCCCCTGCTTTCTCACATATCAACCAATAATATGGGTTGGGTTTTGTTTGTTTGTTTGTTTGTTTTTTAACATGGATCTACCTGTGAAATGTGAATGGGCTGTTGGTCAGGATTTAGAAAAATGCAGATTGTCGAAAGCTGCTTGGATCTGTAGGGAGGGCTGGAGACATTCCTTAATAAACGGTTACAGGTGAGTTTCAGTTTGACAGCCCCGTGCATTCCTGAGAAAGTGGCACACATGCCTTTTGCAAAGTAAAGGGACTTCCATCAGCATGGAGATTCAGACTGTCATTTGGTTTAAACAGTAACTCACTCATGGTTAAAGGCCTTAAGAACCATGACTAGAACAATAATAATAGCTATAATTTTTTGAGCAGTTGCTAGCCTAGCACTGGACGTATATTATTTCATGTAATGCTTGTACCAACAGTGTGAGGTAGATCCTATTACCCATCCCCATTGACAATATATATATATATTTTTCTATTTCTTTTTAATTGTGGTAAAAACATAACCTAAAATTTACCATTTCGACCATTTGTAAGTGTGCAGTTCAGTAGTATTAAGCATGTTCACATTGTTGTGTAATCAATTTCCAGAACCTTTTCATCTTGCAAAGGTAAAACTTGGTCAGTTCCTATTAAACAACAACTCCCCAGTTCTCCTTCCCTAGCCTCTAGCAATCGCCGCCTGCTTTCTGTTTCTACAAATTTCTATTCATCCCTATTTTATCGCTGAGGAAACTAAGGCACAAAGAACTGAAGGAACTTGTACCTGTCTGCCCTCTGGCTAGTAGATGCAGAAGTGGGGAAATCCTGGCTATCTCGTGCCCCTGGCTTACACCCTGGGCCTGTTGACTGAGAAGTGTTCTCTGGGTGACTTCCCTGACCACCTGAGTCAGAATCACCAAAGGGGGAGGGCCGCTTGTTAAAATGCAGACTCTCAGGCTGGACCCCATAGGGTTTGATGCAGAAGGCCTGTGGGTTGGCAGGAATTCTCTGATGACTCTAATGCATGTTTGGATTTGAGAAGTTCTGTGTTTTAGGTCCCCTGAGTAGAAATGGTTAGGTCGGCTTTGAAATGGATACAACTCCATCCCTGCCCTCCAGTTGCTTACAGTTTGCTGGAGGAGACAAGGAAGAAAGAAGCAGGTACAGTACAAAGCAGTAGAGTGAGAGGAAAAGGCAATGTGATGAGCACAGCGTGACGGAAATGGCTGCCCTTCCCCATCAGGATCGTTGCTGCCAGCTGCACAGCTCACTTAGCTGTGATGTCGTGTACCTACAGCGAGCCGGGCATTCCCCATTCGAGTTGCCATGAGCTCCTTGCGCAATGGACTTTCATGCTACAATTCCTATCAAGTTACTTGTGACAAATGACTGATCAATTGCTTTGGCACATTTTACTACATATAGGCCTGTGGTTTCAGTCTCCCGGATGTGAAGGGCGGTATCACTTTAGAATGAGCCTGGTGGCAAGCTAGGCATCGAAATCACGTCAACATGATTAGACCTGGAAGTTCTTCATGGCAGGGAGAATCTGACAAATTAAAAAATTATAACTTGATTGCGAAAGTATCGATGAGGGTGGTGGCGATGACAACAGTAAACATGTCTATGGGAAATATTCATATTTTGCATTTCTGGCGCTTCGTACTTGAGATATCTTTTTCTTTAGAGTATTCAAATAATAATGTTTTAGAAATCATAAGTTGATCTAACTTTTTTGGGCATTCCGGGAGTTCTCTCTGGCACTGGGAGGGGGATTTCTGTTGGCTTTAATATAGCATTTGAGCACAGCTGTTCCAGTTCTTCTTCTTCAGGGTCACACTCTTCCTCTGTGACGCTAAGTCTTACACCCGGCAAATTAATTATTTACCTCACAGCAGTTCCCAGGGAATTCCTAAAACTATCAGTCAGCGTTGGCCATTATCAAATTTCTCTACAAGATCTTGGTTGTGTCTCTACCTGCTACATCCTCTCAGCCCAGCCACGACCTCCTGCGATACAGCTTCCCTATGCACAGAGCCACCTGCTCCGAGATGCTCTCCACAATGGGCAGAGATGATGCTCTGGCTGACACTGTTTCATTCTCATTCTTCCTTTCCAATTTCTGCAACTTGGAGAGTCCTTGGACAGGTCCCCTCACAATTTGGCTATGACACTCCTTTTAAGGATGTGAGATTGGCTGCTTGTTACTCAAAGCTCAGGGCTAAGCTTTCGGCTCCCGGGCTGGGAAGATCTCACTGGGAGAGTGCTGGACACTTAACAGGGGAGTCGCCCCTTCCTAACTGGGATCATGCTGCAGTTTTTATAAAACATCAGGTCGGATTTCCACTTGCTTAAACCTTGTTTTGGCTCACTTTGGACTTACAGAATCAAATGCAATGCTCCTCCGACCAGGACAGGCCCTGCCTCTGCTCTTGGCCTTGTCTCCTGCCAGTGCAGCCACACACACACACACACACACACACACACGCACACGCACACGCACACGCACACCTCGGTACCTTTCGCACACACTCTTCTCTGCTCTGAAGGCCCTTCCATGTCTATCTGGCAAATTTCTTGTGCTTCCAGGCACAGAAATGTCACCAGCATCTCTAGATTTCCTTATAGGGCTAATCCCACGCCTTCCTTCCCTTAGGCAGCCTCCCTGTATAGCCCTCGTCACACCCTTTTGTAATTACCTGTTTACTTTGTTATCTTTCGAGCATTTTTTCTTGAGGGG